AAATACTCCCTTTCTTGCTTTAGTATTCTGGATTATGCTAACTCAATTGATTTAAAACTCAAATAAGCTTTTTTATATAAATAAGATCAAACCTGAACTTAACAGCATTATAACACTTTTCTAGCATTTTAGTTCACACCTTTCATGTTTGGTGTCACTTTGTAATTAGTACCCTCTTTTGTATGACATCATACTGTAAATATTTTATTTATCTACTTGTCTGTTATATAATTACTCACGTTCAGTTACTCATTGATTGAAGATGGCATAAGCATGCCGAAACATGTCTCTCAAAATATTTGTCTATTTCTTACAATATTTATCATACTTGCTAATGCTTGTTAGGTCACAAAAGTCACGCCGCACTTAACATGCAATGTCACGTTAATCATCAGTGGTGCTCGTGTTACGCCCTCCAGCAATAACCCGTAACACAATAACGTTTTGGATTTCAGTTTTAATTCTGACCATTTATCTTCTCAAACACCATTGAAGTGGACCAACAATTTGTAGCAACAATTAGAGAGCCTCTCTGGACGAATTACATGGAATACAGGCCTTTCCAAAACTAAGCCATCTTGAATAAGAAAAGGATTTACTCACTTGAAAGCCCTGATGCTTCCTCTGCAAGGCCTGGACACCACTCAGATCACGTGCCCCATCGTCAAAGAACATAAGAGCTGCTTCTTTCTCTTGGATCCAGGCCCTCGTATCTTCGACATTTCTATTGAAGGCGTGGATCTCTCTCGCTCGGTCCAGTGCCTCGAGCCGTGCGTTGGTTCTATCCTTCAATGTGTCCCACATGGAACAAACCTCCTCCATGCGGTTCTCTATTGCCTGAAGGAGAGAGCAAACAAGTCAGGTAAAAGCTATTCGTTGATTTGATTACATTCTTTAATAAGGTCATTGTGACGATTTCTAAGCGTAGTACCTAAGAACTTTGCTGGGGAACACTCGATTCAAGGTGCACGAACGTTAGTACCGAGGATGGCCCTTCAACGAGTTGCCTCGCTGTAGAAGGACAAACGGAAAAAAGCAAACACAACCAATCCATACTTAAATGATAAAAGACTTTTTCCATGTTTATAGAACCCTACCCAAAAGGGAAGGACGTTCGGGAGAATTCGAGACAGCTATGTAAGTTCGGGATGCAGTCACAAAAATTCCCCCCCCTAGTCGCGAGAGTTGTAACAAACTTCTCTGAATACTCGCGAGTGAAAGACCTCACCACCGGATCTATACCCTTTAATTGAACACACACTTCAGGGAAAAAAAACAGTGACGATAAGGAACTTCTTTAATTATTAAGTTCCTTGGAAAGCCATTCATAAATTCATACATTTAAAGGGATTTTGAATAGACAGAACACCACTTACGTCTCCTTCGCTGTGACCCTCGTCCAGCAGAGTTTGCGCTTGCGCAGTAAGGCTAGCAATCCTCTCCCCTGACGTCACCAGGTCACGTGTGAAGTCTTCAAACTTCTTGAGCAAGGTTTCCACATGCTCAAGATCGCGACCGTAGTCATCGGACATGGCAATCGACTCCTTGTCGGCAATCCAAGACTCAACTTCGTCGGCGTCTCGGAAAAAGTTGAACAGCTGGTTGGAGTCTAATAAGCGCTGACGACGATACGAGGATTTTTCGCTCAGTTGTTCAAAACGAGTCTCCATCTCCGACTAGGGAGGGAAATAAAAGAATTTCATGTTTTCATATCATGTGATGTTTGTCATATTGGCTTTTTAAAGCAATCTCGTGAGATTTTGACACAGTCCTCTGAAAACATTCTCTCCTGTTTCATTCAACAAATAAGGTCGATGATCACGTAGTTGTTCTAGCAGAGGAGCACTTTCCGATGACCAATTTAGCAGTAACCACGCTTTCTATCGGTTTGCCGGCGTAAMAATCCATACGCAAGCATACTTGGTAGAACACAAGAAAAATTTGCCAGAGACGAGTGAACTATAAACATTTCAAGTAAAATAAACTTCTCTACCGGTCTAATAGACGACAGGTTTTTTTTTTTTTTTTTAACCAAAAAAGAGGCTCGTACTAATAAATTCCACGGGGTGTTTGAAATCTTAAAGAACAAAAACAGCAAAGTGCTTAAAAGTGCGATTAGTTTAGTGAGTCCCAACTTGATAGAATGAAAGGATAGCACAATTGCCCTGCCCATTCACGCTCATTTAGTTGAAAACGTTTTAAGGCGTATCCTATTACCTGACGGCGTCGAATCTTTTCAGCGTCGAAATTCCCAGCCGTTACCAGCGCCTGGCACATGTTTCTGAGATCACCGACTTTTGCCCTATAACTGTCTAATTCCAGTTCAAGAGTCTCATGTCTACGCAGCAGGGACTGAGCTGTAGTTTCGTCCCGGCCATAGTCATCGCTGGACACTCGTGGCAACTTTTCTCGAATCCAGGTCTCCACTTCAGTAACCTCCGTGTAGAACTAGGAAATGAAGGTAACACCAGTGTTACAAAACGAAATAAAAACCCAAGAATGCGTTTTTGAAGAGAAAAAATTAACGTTAAACGAGAGTAAACAAGAATATAGTGTTCCAACAACGCCCAAGTCGCAAATGGAGGTCAGGTGCCAGTGGCTGCAATCGCATTTGTACCCAAGGCACTGGAACATCCGACTGGCCCGCCAAACCCGCAACCCACCTGACACTGTATAAAGGCAGATTCTTTTAAAAATACCAGCAAGAAAAAGAGTATTGATATGTCACTAACAATGCTAAAATAACAAATGGGTCACCGGACTCGTGTTGGAGCTACAGATAAATAACGTAAAACAGTGTTTCTAAAAGGCTGCGGGGATGATCTGATGACGTATTGTAGTGGAATTCGCATAATAACTTTATCGGGCAAAAAATAAAAAATTATGGTGCTCTGGAAGGGAATTGAAGAAGCACAAGTAGTACTCGTCCCAGCCCTCTCGCTTTAGGTCGTAATTATCACCTGCTGAGCCTGAAGGGATTCCTGAAGATTCTGATGACGTGTTGCTGACAAACTCGTCAGCTCGGCCCATTTCCCTTGCAAGTCAGCACAGCGAGCCTCGATCTCGTCAGAAGCATAATGCTCACGCTCCATTAGCTGGTCAGCGGTAGACATCACAGTGTTTATCAGCTGTTCATGCGCAGTGATCTCTGAGTCCACTGTCTCTTGTTTCTTAATAAGATTTTGAACTCCTGCAGATAAAATATGTTTTGATTTAATCTGTGCGTTTTAAAAGGAGAGCTAAAATGTTACTTTTCTTTGGCATGTTCTAGTTTTCCATACCGATGAGGGTGCGCCCTAAGTCATCCGACTTGACCAGTGGTTCCTCATCTCGTATCCAGGCCAGCTCTTCTTCCACATTAGAGAGGAACTGCTGAAGTGCAAGTGAATCTTGCAGTTTCTTTCTTCGTGCTTCAGCTGGCTCAGAAAGGCGCTTAAATCTGAAATGAAATAAAAGAAGAAACACTTACTCCAGACACTTACATTCTAAAATGGGCCGCGCCTTCATCTTCAAATATATTCGCGCAATAATATAAAGTTCTTCGATTACAACTCTAGCTTTTCTTTTTTAGTCCTTTTCCTAGTAATAGCTAAAATAGGAGGTTACAGTCGATCGCATAGAGCCAGTGATCATCCGGGTGAACTTATTTCTAAAAAGGACTGATATTGGTGACATGGAATGAAGTTACAATAAAGCAAGTGGAAGTCATCGACAGAGTCAGTAATAGAGTCTTTTACCGTTTAAATGTATTACGTCTGGTCCGTAAGGACTAATTGGTAAGGTTTTACTGATGAGGGCTAGCTCGAGTCTCACGGCCGATGACAACACTCCAATAGTACAAGGTTTACAACAATTTTCACGGAGCAGACATTTGACTGAAATGACCATTCCTCGCTCGCTTGACTTCAGTAACTGTCACCGACAAGAGTCTTTTTCAGAAGTTCTCTCACAAAGACGATCACCCAACCGGATGGAATGTATCAGAGACAGCTCAGGTTAGATCAAAGACACTGATTTCACCTTTGTCTTTCAACAAAGGATTACCTTTCCGCAACTGCTTTCGCCCTGTCTTCAATTTCATCCTTCTCAAAATGATCTGCCTCCACAAACTCTGTCGCCTGATTCAATATCGCTGTAACTCTTTCCTTGCGAGATGTAACGTCTGCTTCGAGTAACTGATGCTTCTTGATAAGATTGTTAGCACTCTTTACGTCTTTACCGAAATCTTTTGATGCCAAAGTATTTCCAACCTCGTTGATCCACGTTTCCAAGTCTCCAACGTTCTTCTCGAACGTCTGCCTTTGAATGGCTTCCTTTAACCGCTGACCCTTACTACTCGACATATCACCCAAAAGCTTCCACAACTCGTTGACATCCTTCAGCCTCGTTTCCACTGTTTCACGTGATTGAGGTGTAGTTTCCAACAGAGTCTGTCCAGCGCGAAGCACGTTGTCAAGCTGACCTTTGTTCGCAGCTAATTCGGCTTCAAAAGTTTGATGTTTTTGTTGTTTCTGAAGTAGATTGGATGTTTCTCTGTAAGATGCCTCAGAAGCTGTTTGTAGTTTCTCGTTTATCCACGATTCAATCTGTTGAAAGAAAGCGAGATTCGACATTGTTGATGCTGACAATATGTAGAACACGTGTCACATATATACCTGGTAATTTTAATGTCATACACACACGACGTCGAAGCGCGCCATGAGAATGTAAAGGACGTTCACGCAGTTGGAATAGATGACCCAAACTAGCCAGGGTGGTCTGTTTTCACCAGACAAAAATACTGCGTATTGAGCTGAAAAAGTACAACACATACACTCCGACGACAGAGCTGAATAACGAAATGTCACGTCAAAGGTATGCAGTCAACAACGCGGGCTCAAGCATGCGAGGTTAAATATTTAGCGAAATTTGCGAAAATGATAAGAATCTGGCATTTAAAAAGTTTTTAAGGAGAAAATTAATTTTCGAAATTATTTAGGGGGTGTACAAAGTTTTTGGAAGTTATTCTGTAAAAGAAAAGCGGCAAGGAAAACAGCGCCACGAAGCAATAGAATAGTAAATCTACCATGCGAACGACTCAAATCTGTTTTTCCGCACCAAAATCTAGCACGTGCGCATACGTTTTTCAGGTCTGTCCACTCCGACTATTTCTTACCTCCTCGGCATCCCTAAGAAATTGAAACAACTTCCTTGATTCACCAAGATCTCCAATCTTTGCAGTGGCCAACGTTTTGAGTCGTTCCCAGTTTTCCAACACTTCTCTGCATCTTTTGCCGATCTGGCCCGAATCCACGTGCTCCTCCTGTATAAGTTGGTCAGCGGACTGTTGTATAGATTTGATCTTCTCTTCGTAGGCTGTCAGAGATCTTTCGAAGTTAAGCTGATTCTTAAGCAGCGTCTCCACTGTGTCCAAACTGTCGCTTGATTCTTCTGCCTGTAAAAACGCTTCTTTGGCTGAAATCCATGAGTCTGCTTGATCCGCATCCCGTAGAAATAGCTAGAAAAGATGATGGTCACTGTCAGAATGCATTTTGAGGCCGAAATTGTAACTCGGATCACAGGTTTAAACTATTGATATGTGTGTTTTAGATACCTCGTATTCAACCAGTCTTTGGTCGTTAGGACTTGATGCGCCTCTGTTATTTTCTAGTTTAAGGACTAAATAATCGGGAATATTTTCGACTTAAAAGGTTTATATTAAGTATCCACGCTCAGCAGCCTTTTGGTGTAATGTCACGCAACGGAACTGACGCCCTCTTGCCAAACGTTGCGTGACGACGGTGACCCTTCGTCACGAATACAACTTACCCTAACGGTCAAGTCTTCCATACCTGTAATTCAAAAGACTGTGATAACTCTATTTGTCTCTCTTCCCAAGACTCCAACAACTCGTCTTTCACAAGACTCATTTCCTCACAGTTCTCAGCAATCTCTTCTGCTGCAAAGTGTCCCTGGTCCACCAAACTGAGGCCAAACGCATGCGCACTGTTGAACGACTCCAGCCGAGCCTCGATTACACCCTGGGAAAAATAGAAACTACATCAGCCTGTATGACCGAGAAGCGATCAACATTCAATTCCTATTTACAATACAAATAAATTATCCCGTACACAGGCAATGAGATTAAAGGCAATTATCATTAGAGGAAATTTTTTGACATAACATCTACCAGACAGACAAAGAGAAGATCACATGAAAGGATAAACAACCTAGGAAAAGCCAAAATATTCATGAATAAAAAGAGCAAGTTTTAAAGAAATTTTGGTGCTGCGTCAGTGGGGGTATAACAAACCAATTTGGTTTAACAACTGAGTTGACAATAGGGACCTTAAGAAACCACGACGGCGACGCCAAGGAAGACTTCGATTAAAAAAATGAATTTCTACTCTTCGTTAGAATTTCAAAAATGGCTGCGAGAGCTTACTGTCTCATATAGCGCCACAGCTCAACTTCCGCATGATGTATAAAGTAGCTGTTGAGTTCCAAATGGAAATTAAAATAATTTGCCGTCGCGGTTTCGGTTCGCAGACGACGCAAGTTTCATGTTGTGGCGATTTCATGTTGTTGTTTTGCATAGGACGGCTATGAAATGTACAAAGATTCAAAACGCACGTGCTGAGCTATTGTTCTGCCAATTAGATCTCTTGTTTTCCACGTCCCCGTTGCCGTCGTGGCTTCTTTAGGTCCCTAATGTACATCGGCCACCGTAAAGACTTTTTAAAGCTAAAGTTTCGAGCGTTAGCCCTTTGTCAGAGCGAACACTCATTCCATACAGTACCTTTCTCTCTGTATGTAGTTCGAGCAACGCTTCCGCTTCTCTGACATTCTTGGCGGCTTCCCCGGATGTAATTCGCGTGGCTAGGTCTGTCATCCACGCCATCAAGTCGCGGTAATCCATTTGAAAAATTTGTAGGAGTCGGTTAGCCTCCAGTTTACCTTTCCTGGTTAAAATTTGCAAAGGCTGTGTTAGAATAGGAGTAAAATTTGTCTTAACAACACCAAAAAAGAACAATTTGCTACCTCATAGTCACGTTGAAAGCCTTCTTTACCTTTCATCAAACAAGTCATTTAGTCGTTCCCAGTTTTCTATAATTTCTTTCTGCTTCTCCTGAATAGTTGCCACCGTGTGAGGCTGGGACCTAGCCAGTCGACGAGCCTCACCTTCGAGTACCTCCATTTTGCCTTCAATGACTGTCAAGTCTCGTTCCAGGTCGTCGTGTTTCCTCAACAGAGCCTCGACCCCAGGCAGGTCACGGCCGTAATCATCACTGGAAAGTATCACAGCCTGAAAAACAACATCGAAAAACTGATTCCGAGAGATAAACATTGACTAAATTTTACTTGAGGGTTTATCATTCAATTATTTAAGTGCTTCCGCTTTTTTAGTTAGAAATAACTCAATTCACAATTACAACACGCGTTCCAGAGACGATTTTCACTTATTTCGCGTAAGAACAAACTGGGCAAACAACGTTTTACGTATCAGAGCGTCGTAGACTGGAACTATTCAAGTCAAGATATACGTGACACTGCGGCACCTTCTTATTTAAAATCTAAGCTTAACCATGCATTTTAGGGAAACATGCATTGTCAAGTGGAAGTAAGTTTCTATTCTTAACTAGTTTTTTTTTTTAACTCTTTTATCATGTTTAGTTTTTTATTTAATTGTAATTCATTTGTAGAATATACAGGGCCTCACTGAAAAGCACCTTTTGGTGAAGT